GGAATACTGCAACAGGGTGGACACCTCAGGCTGAAACTAAAAGGGGCAACATTAAATTAGTAAATGTGAACTAGAACTACAGCAATTGTGAAAAACTATCCTTCCCCCATCCCCAAGCGTTGTGCTGCGTGTAACAGAGTGCAAGTTCCCACCCAGACCCCCCCCCCATCTCAGCCCCCCCCAGCCCCCCCCCCCCAGTTCAGCCCTGCACAGTCCAGGGCACAAGAGTTCCTGCACAATAAGCTGTAATCCCAGTTCAACGTGCCTCCTGAGCCGAATGCTTCTGGGCAGGCAGAGCAGCCTAGAGGTGGCTCTGGGGCTGCCGGCACTTCAGGTGTGCTGAACGAAGGCCACGCGGAGGGTCCAGACCGCAGCTGGGCTCCCTTGTCACTGTTCTGCAGCCCGTTCAAGAGCTCTCAGGCAGACTACGCGGCCCGCTGGCTTCGCAGCCAGGAGAGGCCCAAAGCAGACGAATTTGAGCTGGAGCCCTCCTCAAGAGGCTGCAGGGCTAAGGCGTGTGCAACGGGCCCACGGACAGGAATGAGGGCGGGAACCGTGCCAGCAAGAGTCTGTAGCACCTTAAAGGACACGTGACATTGCATAAACCTTGGGGAATCTCAATCTTCTTCACCTGACTTGTAGTCTTCAAGGGGCCACAAACACAGTGGCTTTCAGATCACATCAGTGGGGGGGGGTCTGCTCGGCCCCTCACAATAGTGGAATAGTGCAACTGCTACAGGCTGCCTATAAGAGTTGAGACGCATGAAGCGAGCCGGTGCCGAGATGGATGTTTGGAGCCAAATTCACGCCCCCCCCCCAATTTTGCAGAAAGAAGACACTCTGTGGAGCCCAGAGTGATCGTGTGATCGGCAGAGGTCCCTGGGCACAGGCAGACCCTAACCGCAGGACATGGGATCCCCAGGTCTGCTGAAGTCATAAAAACTGCCAGGAGGGGAGCAGGGCAAAGGCGAGCCTGAAGTCACTTGCCCCCTCCTCCGCCCACTAGGGTAAGTCCTCTGGGTACCTGCCCAAGAGAGTACCCAGGTAGGCAGGAGGGACTGCTGGCCACGCCCTGCCCCAGGGGCTCCTTGCCGCTGCTCCGGCCTGCCAGAAACACGGACAAGGCTCGGGGTGTTAGTGATGGTGGCCTGGGGCAGCCCCGCTCACTGAAGACCTGCCACTCTTCGCATTATGGGACTATTAGCCAGCCGCAGGAAAGTTCTGAGCACGCTTGCCAGAGGGCCAACGACCTCCTGCCTTTTAGCAAGACTGGCATCCAGGTGGGCTGCTTCCAGGCCCTTTGCGGCAACTCAGCTGAGCGGCTTCTGGGCCAGGGAAGGCAACTCCACAGACTGCAGATCCAGGGGTGCCCTGGGAGAAGCCGTGAGGCCACACGCAGGAGACTGGCTCCAGCCTCCAGGGCCTTGCCTGCTCCTTCCCTGGACAGTGAGCTGCAGCTCTGGCCTCTGCAAGGGGCTATGGGTCAAGCCAAACAGGACTGGCAGGGCGACGCCAGCCTTGGATTCCAGTACCAGGGCCTGGTCTATCCTGGGTCTAACTTCAAGGACCTCCCCAGGAGGGAAAGGAAGCAGCAGAAGAGCTCTAGGCCAGCCTCCCCTTTGGCCCCCCAGCTCTGCCTGTGGCAAGCGCAGACCATGCCTTTCTTCAGAGGGGGTGAGCATCTGAGGAGCAACTCCATCCTGGATGGGGCGCAAACTGGGCAGGTCAGCTATCGTCCTACCGTTTCCTAGAATAAACTCCCTTGGGAATTATTTCAGAGTTATCCTGGAGGACCAGGGAACAAGGCAGCTTCCTCCTTGCAGGACCTGGAAGAGAAAGGGGAAGCACACACTCCGGTGTGGAACTGGGAAGGTGAGGTGGAGGAAAACGCGGGGCCTGCATTACAGGTGGGTGGGGAGACTCCCCAGCGCTAAATGCCGCAGGCCTGGAACTCTGAGCGGCTGGGAAACGCGCCCCGCCAGCAAAGGCGTGGAAGACACGGGGCTCTTCCACAGCCCCCCAGCTGCAGGAGGGTTGGGGCCTGCCCTACCCCCAGGGTCAGAGGTGGGAGCAGCAGGGCTGCTTGGGAACAAGCAAGCTATTTGGGCCATGGGAGGGTGGAGGCTTGGGAACAAGCAAGCTATTTGGGCCGAAAAAAGGGTGGAGGCACTGCGGGACATCCCAAGCCCTGGGCCGGGGAGTCAGCGACCCACAGGTTTATCAGAAGGACAGCGCTCTGCCAGCCCCGTTCCAGAGGCTGGCGGAGGGACAAATGGGCGGGGGAGCTGGGCCTGATCCCTCCTTATTCCACAACTCAGGGCAGGCAAACGTTTACTCCACCATCCAGCGAGGTCCGTTCCTGGGCCTCAGAAGCAGCACTTGCAGACTACCACGGGGCAGGAAGGTGCAGCTGCCTTGGGGCTCCCTCAGGCTGTTGGCATCTAGCAGGAAGGAGACTCAGAAAGGCCACTGCTCCTAAGTGGGCACGGGGGCAAGCTCCTCCCTCTGTTATTTGGAGGGCACCTCAAGGATCCTGATAGCAGCAGCACCCAGAGGGGGCTGGGGAAGCCCTTTCGTCTGCTGCACCAAAATGTAAAGGAGATCCCAGCTGCCTAGCTATGCCCCCCAGTAGGCACTGGAGCCCCAGCCTGCCGGCGACTATCCCACAGAAACAAATCTTGGTGGTGAGGGGGGGCGGGCTTTGGGGGCTCTGCTCTCCTCTTAACACAGCCTTGCAAGCCACAGTGCTAAGAGCCCTTCGCACTGCAGGTTCCTGTTCCCAGGGTGGCACCCCACACAGGAGACAGCAAGAGATGCTCCCCCTTCTTCACCTGACTGCATACATGCCAGGGCCCTGCACGGTCCTCTCCCTAACAGCCCCGCGGCAGGGGCACAGCCCTGTGAAGCTATCAGAACAAACCAAAGCAATTCCCACATGAAACTCAGCCGGGGCCTGGAGGCAGGGATGTAAAGGATGGCTTGGGGGCAGGGCGGGGAGACAAGGGCACAGAGTGACTCCGCTGGTCCAGGCAGCCACCTGGCTGTGGCAAGACTGCCTCTGCTGCCTGACTGCCAGGGCTGAGGGTGGCAGGCCCAGGGTTGTCCACTTGGCCCCCAGAAGCTGGGAAGCCTGGGATCAGCCAGATGGGGTGGTCCCCCCCACCCTGAGCTCTGGGTCTGGCCAGCCCCACCGCCTCTCTTGCAGGTGCACCACAGGAGCGCTGCAACGCTATTCCCGTATGCTTGCGGAGTAGGAGAACTGAGGGAAGTGGGTCCTCTGGTCTGCCTCCAGGGGGTCCACGCTGTCATCTGGGGACAAGAACAGCAAGGCCTGTAGCTTCCCAGTGAAGCCAAAACCAAGAAACTAAATCCCCCCCCCCGCAAGTGGAGATGTAAGGCCCCCTACTCACATCGGTCCGGTGGAGTAATGGTGATGGACTGTGCTGTGAACTCGTCATCAAAGTACCGAGTATCGATTTCAGATGTCACCTGGGGCTTGAAAGGGGGGATGAGCTGGTGGGAGAAGAAGCCTGCTTAGTTCACACCATGGGGTCTCACCTGCAGCCCCCCCACCCTGATCCGGGAGCTCAGAAGGCTGCTGCCCACACTAAGCCACACGTGGGCCAGAACAACTGCCGCGCCCTACCTTCTTCTGAACCACATCTTGCCAGTTAATGGCAGCAAAGAACCGGTGCTCCATCACCTCCTTGGCATCGTTGGGGCCACCCCCCAGCCTGGGAAATAAAAGGTTTGGTTATCATCTGGGGGAAAGACTGGTTTATGCATGCGTGGGTGCATACTCGTGTCTGCGTGTTGTGAGACCTACGATTCAACAGGAGAGGGCAAATGTCCACTGCTGCCTGTTCGAGGGACAACCGGGGCCTTAAGGCAAGAGAGGGAGGGTGACTTCCATGGAGCCCCAGGGTGGGAGCGCCAGCTCTTCCCTCCACATAGCTGGACTGCAACACCTCCTCACTGTACATCCTACTGAGAGAAACGTGCTCACCTTATATGCACGTTTGTACAGAACTACACACTCGGCGTTTATTTCAAACTCTAAAGCAAAGAAACCAACTGTAATTTATTCAATACATTTTCATGAAAACTATGGCTTAGCCTTTGAATCTGGCCAAGGGACCACCGGATCCCGTTCCTGACAACAACTGCTCTCCAACATGTCTAGCAGCCCAACGAAGAGACCCACGGCTTCGGCAGCTCAACCCCACATGCTCCGCTTCCTGGGCAGAAGGGGCCGTGCCCCCCAGCAACCGAAGGCATAAGGCCAGGGTCTCTTCCTCCAAGCAGGAACTACAGCTGAGAACTCCCACGGAGCTGGCAGGCTCCTTCCAGAGGGTCCTACCCGGCTCACCTCTGCTTGGGGTCCTTCTTGAGCAGACCAGCCAACAGGGCCTTGGCTTCAGGACTGAGCGTGCGCGGGAAGCGGATCTCCTCCATGAGGATCAACTCAAAGAGACGCTCGTGGTCCTGACTGTAGAAGGGGAGGCGCCCACACATCATCTCATACATGACCACGCCTAGGCCCCACCAGTCCACGGCCCGCCCGTAATCATTGTCCTCCAGCACCTGTGGGGGGGGCAGGAAGACGAGGTGAGACATGTAGCATCTGGGAGCAGGTGCGTCTGTGGAACAGCCACGAACAGACTGTTACTGGCAGCCCAGGCCAGCTCCGCCCTGGCAGCAGCGGAAAGCCAGGTCTGCCCACGTCCTGTGAAACCTGCCACCCAACACGTTTGCTCTGGCCCCAGCCCCCGCATTCCCTACCTCTGGGGCCAGGTATTCCGGTGTCCCACAGAAGGTCTTCATGGTGGCGCCATCGGTGATCCCTTCCTTGCACAGACCAAAGTCTGTGATTTTGATGTGTCCATCTTTATCCAGCATGAGATTCTCCAGCTACAACGCACAAGGGCAGAGAGGAGCCCCCTGCAGAACTGACCCACGGGCCACCCGTTCAGACCCTTCGGGAAGAGCGCCAGCAGGGCGAGGCAGTGCCGTGCTCCGCACACGCAGGTTTACCTTGATGTCACGGTAAACAACATCCCGAGAGTGGAGATACTCCAGGGCAGAGACGATCTCAGCCCCGTAGAAACGGGCACGCTCCTCGGTGAAGACGCGCTCTCTCGAGAGGTGGAAAAACAGCTGAAAGGGAAGGTGGAGTCAGGGAAAAGCAGCCGAGCAGGGACGCAAGGCCCAAAGCCCACTCCTGCTTCCGCCACGAGTCGGGACTCCTCCTGGCAGACGCTTACCTCCCCTCCGTTGGCATATTCCATGACGAAACAGAGGCGGTCGTTGGTCTGGAACGCGTATTTCAGGGCCTAGAAAGGCGGGGAACAGAGCTTCCCCTCAGAAAGAGCAACTCTCCCGCCCACCCATGGCCCTGCACTCTGAGGAAAATTAAAACCAGGCCTATAAGCACGGTCTTATTGCTATTCTGTATTCTGCCTTCCAGTACCGCCTGGTGGCTATTCGATAAAGGAGCAGTTGTCATACTACCAGGCCGCCACCTCAGAGATGCTCACTCCTGTGAAGCCAAGGGGCATTACAGCGGAAGCAGCAGTAGCACGGAACCGAGCAGGATGACAGTCTGGGCTCGTGGAGGACTGGCCGCAGACGTTTATGGGCTCTGGGCCCACCCTCTCTGCTCGGCCCCCAGGAGCAAAGCCCGAACCTGCTCTGGCCAGCAGGGAAGTATTCCCTGGATTAAGGCGCATACCGTGAGAAAGGGGTGCCTTGTGTTCTGCAGCACTCGGCTCTCCGTGACGGTGTGAGCCACTTCATCCTTGAAAGAGAGAACAGTGCTCTTACCCAAACGCGCAATTCTCGCGGCATCTGAGCTGTTATTCACCTCCCCTTCAGCCTGGCTCTCTAGGCTTAGTAAAAGGCGGAAACCTCAACACTAAATGGGGGCTGCGAAGAGGAACAGCCTGGGGGGAGTAAGGGAGCATGCCCGTATCCACCCACAGCTGAAACAGGCAGCAATTCTTGGCCAAATGGTTAACTTCTGCTCCTTTGGATCCACTCTCCCCTTGGAAGAAATGGGCGGCTGAGAAAAGGGGGTTCCCAGAAGCCCCAGAATCAAACTGTCCAAGAAGCAGTGGCAAGCAGCGCCCTCCTTTCTCTCTCCAGCAGGGCCACAGAAAATCTCAGCTTTGCAAGCAAAGGGAGAAACCCAGTTCTTCCCCAACGAGGCTTTCTGAGGAAGAACTTATCACCTGATGTCGACCTGGGCAAGCGGTCTCCCCATTCTTCATGTTCTGTTCCACAGGCCCTGAGCTTCCACCCACCTTGGCAATTATGACCTTCTTGCGCAGAATCTTCATGGCATAGTAACGGCCTGTGGCCTTTTCCCGTACAAGGATGACCTTCCCAAAAGTACCCTTTCCAAGGAGCTTCAGGTAGTCGAAGTCACTCATGGTCTGGTGATAAAAGGCAGAGAGAAAGAGTGTGCTGACCAAGCTCATCCCCCGACTGATCAAGCCTTTGAGATAAAATTAGCCATTACAAGCCCACAGCCATAATTAGATAGCCTCACCAAAACTAGCCGAGACGAGTGGCCATCGTACTCACACTGCGGCTTCCCTCCTTACCGCCTTGGTCCTGGACTTGGTCACAGCCACTTCCATTTCCTCAGCCCCTGTGCTGTCACTGGGGGAGCCACATTTGTAGTCCATCCTGTCCTCCTCTTCTGGCTCCTGGTTCTTTAAGCTGTTGGCCACCATCTGAATGGCCTGGATCCACTCTTCCCTGGGGAAGACACAAGCGTGATCAAGGAGCACTAGGCCGTTCTGATGCCTGCAGAGAAAGGCAGCGTGGCAGTCCACAGGCTGAGTTACAAGGAGGCAGCTGAGATACAGTTACGTGTCAGTCCAAGACAGAAAGCTCCCTTGTGTATGTCTGGTGCCTGAACACTGACAGCGGCCAAGAGGTTGCTATCTTGATGCGGAAACACTTCTCCATTCCCGCAGCCGGCCTCTGAAACAGCACCCGCTCACAGCAGTTGAAGCAAGGCCTTGAGGCAGCACACTCACCTTTCCTCCGGGGAGTCCACGTGGAACGTCCGTTCAATGACCGTTGTCCACTGCAAGCAGCGGATGATAAAAGTGTTGGGACGAGGCCGCTCTGCTTTCATCAGCTGGCATTCTAGGGAGGCAGGAGAAAGAGGAAAGGAGTCTTGTGCGCAGTTTCCCCCAGAGAACCCTCCCCAGCAGCCCACTCGGCCCTTGTGACCCGTGCCTTAAGACAACATTCCAGGCCCTGGGTTGTTTCCACGGGCCAAGATCCACGCGGACTCAGCCAGAGCAGCTCCTTCTCCAGGATAACAACCTCCCTGGCGTTCGAGATGGAGAAAGGCGAAGAGAAAGTGAGGGCAATCCCAGGGTGCCCATTGCTCACACATGCAACTTCCCTCGGCGAGGTGGGAACAATCCATCCAAACCACAAGGAGAACAGGAGTCACATCAGGAATCGTATGCCAGCCTGCGTGGAGACCCAGGAGAGCACCACACCCTCACCCAACCTTTTCCGAGCTAATCTGGGTAACAAACCTGCCACAGAGAAGTTGTTCAAAGGAGGTGTGCTGTGATCTGCTGCTTCAGGCTTCTCCTTGTATCCAATGAAAGAGCCATCGCTTTTGAGGAGGAAATACCTGGGTCTCCAGGTTTTGATGTATTCCCCTGGAAAGCAGGTCTGGTGTTATCCAGATGAACATGCAAGCTACCACGTGGCCCAGCCACCCTCCTGCTCTGCTTTCAGTGACTGAACAACATAGCCAGACATGTAACCATTACCCCATTCATCCATTCATCCATTCATCCATTCATCCATCCATCCATCCATCCATCCATCCATCCATCCATCCATCCATCCATCTCTATACACGACCTGGTGCCCCTGAAAGCTCCCACTTTGCCTAAACGTTGGAACAGGTTTTGCCACTTTGAGAGCAAGGAGGGCAGAAGAGCGCCTTGTATGTTACCTTGCCAGATGCAACTCCTGACCAGGTCAAGCAACTAGCTGAGGCTTCTGCTTCATCTGCTTGTAAAACAATCTTCTCTCAGCGTGGCAGGGACCCCATTCCCCGGCAGCCTGAGTGGCCTTCTCTGCCAACTGCCTCACGCTGTTCCGGAGCCAGAACCCTCTTTGGCTCTGGCAAGCACAAGTCAGCCCAGAGCCAAGGTCTTTTGGGGAGCTGCTTCTCCCGTCCCTTGGCAAAGGCAGGCCTCGGCTCCGCACAGCTGAGCTCACCACCCCCCGCCCAGCCAGGCCGAGGCAGCACATCCAGGAACTGCAGGGGACCAAAAGGCAAAAAGAGGAATCTGTTGGTGCTCCAACCCAAGGATGGGGCAAGAGGAAGCAGCTCAGGGGAAGGGGAGAGGGACAGGGACCTGCCAGGGGACAAAGAGCTCATGCCAAGACTCATAACTCTTGTCATAATTCCATTTCTTTATTTGGGGTTGCCCTACAGCCAGCACTTCCTAAATGGCGTAGACGAGCACTCAAGAACACAGAATACAGAACAACAAACGGAGCAGATGATGCAACCAGCTACAAGCGCAAAAACGAACAGTAGAAAGATGTAAAAGCACCACAAGCCTTTCTTCAAAGCCTGGAAATGACCGTTGGGCTTTCTCCCTTGGGGCTAAAAAAAACACAACCCAGGGACCGGTCGCCTCTCCCTGGGAAGGGTGCTCCACAGATGGGCACCCCCAACAGGATGCTCAGGGCCTCAACGTTAGGGAGGGGCAGTGGCCCCAGCCAGCATGCAGCAAAAGCCATCGGGATCCCGAGGGTGAAGAGAGCCCGCAGCCTGCTCCCCTCTGCGCCGGCTGAAGGTTCCGGGCAGCGCAGGCCCTGCTCTCTCTGCACAGAATCCATTCAGAGGCAAGCCCCGCTGGCAGCTCGGGCCCTCCAACAGGGCAGGCGGGGGCACTGCTCACCTCGCTTGTGCAGCCATCCCTCCTTAATGACCGACACCTCACTCATGTTGCTGCCGCCACGGGGCACGGAGAGGGATTACTGCCTGCCAGGTGGACCAAAGGTGGCCTGGCGACCTGCAGGAGAGAAGGGAACGGTTGCCATCCTGAGAGTTGGAAGAACCATCTGTGGCCACCCTGCCACCTACTCCTGGCCCTCGCTGCCTCCAGTGCTGCAGAGTAAACCTGGCTTCTGAACGTTGAGAGATTCGCCACCGAGCCAGAATCGACACCAGCCCAGTTCCCTCTGGAGCCTGGATCCCTCACCTGCACTGGCCAGTGGCCAAGATCCATAGCAAAAAGGAACCAATTTAAGGCAACAGAGGTTCTACTGGATCCCCTGGACTTCCCCAGTCAGAGGCAGTCGCCTCATGGAGCCAAGGTCAGGCAACCAGGTCATGTGTGATTGCAACCGGCAGGGGAGGCCAGGACGACCGAGCTCGCTCCAGGCCTAGGGGTGCAAGCATTCAATGGCTGCCCCACCAACCAAGAGGGGAGGATGGCTTGGACTACCTTCTGTATCACAGGGTTGGGAGAACAGATCCTGTGCTTCTGCTCCCACCCCCACCTTTACCCTTCTGTTTTCAATTTCCTTATATGCCCCTAAGCTTGCCTGACATCAGAAGCAAGGGAATGGGCGAAGAGGGGAGCGTTTGAAGGAACTGCACATGCTCAGATTCCAGCCAGCTACAGAAAGATTAATCCCAGGTGCCAGAGGGGTTTAAGAGGGCAGTGAGAGATGAAAGACAGGACCAGACTGGGAAGCAGGAGGGGGCCTGTTCACTGGGGAATGCTCCACACTGCAACCAGGGAGGCTTCAGTTGCCTTGCCGCTGCCTAAACGTCTGCTCCTCTGTCCCCACGTGCCCAACGCCATTCAATCCCGCATACCCAATGATCCTGCGGTGTACCCCAAGAACAGGCACAGCTGACATACGTTTAGCACATGGCTGTCAGACACCCCTCCTGGGTCTGTACCACCTCAGAAATGAGCGAGGGGGGAGTAGAGAGCCACCCACCCCTACGCTTACTGTTCCAGCAGAGAAAGCTAGTGTGATGGGGAATGGGGAGGCTACGGTCCAGTAGGGATTTCTTAATGTGGCTTGAAGCAACGGACTATTTGCAGAACTCCACCTATGCAAAGAACGGCGGCCCTAAGCAGGCGGCCACGTTTGCCATGGTCAATACCGGGACCTTCCAAGAGCAGCTTTGCTGGAACGTATGGTTGCCTATGGCTGGGAATATCAGAAGGATTCACTTTGCTTGGGTCCAATTCCATAAGGCAATTCTTATTCCACTGGACTTCCAGAGCAAGTCTTACACGGGTAGAGAGAAAGCTCCTTTGAATAAAGTAACATTGCAAGAAGAAAAGCCGGGGAATGAGATTATGCCACCCAGAACTACCCACAAGCAGGATCTCTCCCAAGTGCAGAGAATTTCAGGGAGACATTGTGTCAGCAGCAGTGCTAATAAAAATGCTGGCCACCATTCAGGTCATCTGCAAATGACCAAACAGGAGTTGCAGCTCCTTCAGTAGGCAGAGGAAGCCACTTCTGGGCATAAGATCTGAGTCACAAAGCCAGAGAAGACATCAGAGCTCATCTTACGTAACTGCCTGCTTGGTGGAGAATCTGCTATAGCATTTCAGAGAGACAGGTGCCCAGTCTCTGTGCGACAGCCACCAGCAAAGAGAAACCGACCACTTCATGTGGCAGCCCGCTCAACTGGCCAGCAGCTTGTACAGTCAGGAAGTTCTTCTGGGTGTCTAGCCTGATTCTCCTTCCTGCAGCTCTAACCCCTTGGTTGTGGTCCTGCCTTCTGGGACAACAAAGAGTAAGTCCATTCCTTCTTCTGTGCTGTAACCCTTCAGAGACTGGGAAAGCATCATAGTTCCCCTTTTTTTGCACACGAAACATACCCAGTCCATATACAACTTGGTTTCCAGACTCCTGACTGTCTTGGCAGCCCTCCTCTGAAATTGTTCGCTATTATCCTTTTTGAAGGGTGGTGTCCAGAAAGGGACACGGTATTCCAAGGCCTCTATTATCTGAGTAGGGCACACTTGAGTGAGCAACTGCTTTCCGTAATCTACACTCCGTGCCCTTTTCTCCTTGCAGTGGATGCTGGAGGTGAAAAGGGAAAGCTTATCTCCTTGCCCCAGTTGGGAAAACTCTTGCACAAAGATGTTGTCGCACGAGTTGTTGCTACAGAGGCCAAGAGCAACAGGGACAGCAATGGTGCTGCAACAGCACTTTGGAGCCCGTTACAAAAGAGCAGAAAGGGATTGATCAGCAGCCTCGTTCCTTGAGAATGCTTTGCTTCTGAACACAAAGGCTTGGGCAAGAGGGCCGAACCCTTCTACCGGGCCCAACCCAGCCTGGTCAGCTTTGCTTCCGGTGAAAACCAGGAAAATAGCAGAAAGCGAAGCCAGCCTATCAAGCCAAAAGAGCCTCTTTCTTCAAAGTACTCAGGCAGAACAGGACACTTGGCTCCAATGTGTCTAGGAGAAGAAGTCAAGGGACGGAAGACCCTTTCAAATGGCAGAGGGCAGGGACCAGACTGACCGGTGGACCAGCATTAAGACAAGTGGTATGGTTTCACGCAGCACCTCTTGGCGTAAGTAAGTTGGAAAAACCGACAGGGCGCTATGTGATGTGCTCCGATGCGCCGATCACATATGGCGGGAGGCAGGCAGGAGAAAGCTGCCCTCCCCCTCCCTAGAAACAAACTGCCACGGAATAAAATGCACGATCTGATCTGCGTAACTCTCTGCCGCAAGAAGGAGTGATACGTTTGAAGTGGCCGTGGCCCCATGCTCAAACGTCCACTTTCCAAGCCCACCGTTCCTGCTGAGAGACGAAGGGTGCTTTCGCTCAAGTCAACGTCGCAAACGCGGCTCTCCCGGAAACCGCATCTTCCGACTCCCCCAGCTGGAGATGGGACCCGGGTGGGCGGCCAAGAGCTAGAGTACTGCTGTCCTCGTAGGGTCCGACGAACAGCAGGGTGCTCGGGAAGCCTCAGGAGGAGCGCCGTCGCCTTACTACCGTGGCTGCCGCGGGTGCGGATTGCCTCTGAAGGGACGCACGACGGGGAGAGGCCCGAGAAAAGCAGTCGCCGGGGGCGAGGCAGCGAAGAGGCACTGCTGTACCGTAC